AGTTCATATCATTGCTTAACATCTCTGAAACAAGAAAGACTTTTTTTTTCAGAGCTTGCATGATAGCAATTTATAAAACTGACTAGACTGCCTAAAAAGTACACATCTCAGTTCAGTCTAAGTTCTGGTGGCCCAACGTAATGGCTCAGCACTCTCTGAACTTAGTTGATTCACTTACATTTGTTTTATGATTTCTTGTCAAGGGATAGACTTTCTTGGACAAATTTCTTTAAGCTCTTTTGAATCAGCACTTTGTATTACTAAAGTTATGGTAGGGCAAAGACCTTTGTAGGGTCACTAACTCAAAACCTTTAACTTACTTATCTACTTTCAAGAAGCAGGGCCATGTTTTTTTCCGGGGAAGGGGCAAGTTTTGTGGAAGGGAGATTGTTTTGTTTTTTGTTTGTTTTGTTTTTTGTTTGTTTTGTTTTGTTTTATAAAACAGACCTGGTTTGTAGTTCTAGCTCAGCTCCTGTAGTGTCTCAGACTAATTAAGATAGCATAGGCATTTGAGTTTACTCCATTACTTCAAGGTTACTGATCTTATTGTTTCTGTTAATTCTGGTTTGAACCAAAATTATGTGTTCAGAAGTGATAGTTTGGGCAACAGTAATTTTCTGTGGCACTCATCCAGAGCTTGCTGTTATATGAATAGGGATTTTGTCCTTCAGCAACCATGACTGAAAATGGAAAAAAAAGGAGTATCTGAGACCAACATTAGGTGAAAGGGAAGGAAGACAAACCAAGTACCTGCCTTTGTTCATATTCATTGTGCAGTATCTTATTCATACTTCATCTCTTTCTACCCAGCACCACAGAATCCAGGAAGAATATACCTGAAACCTCTAGCCCTGTTTGTATTTTCTGTGTTTCCAGCACAACAGTGTCATTCTACTTTCTCAGCCATTCTAAGGCCACGAGTTGCAGCTGTGAAATTACTATAATGTTTTAGTATTTACCTACATAATATATTTTTGTTATACTATGTATTAGCCAAATAAATCCTTACTTTCTTCAAAATCAGGAATATATGTTTACTACTAATTAAACTCACTTCCAGTTTTATAATCATCCAGATAAATAGTCATAAACTGTGTCTTTAAAACAGACTCCCAGGATGGATGCAGATCTTGCTGAGACCTGAACTACAATCATGCGGCCTACTTGAAGCCATGTGATCATCAATCAGGTTCCACTTGTCCTCACGCTCTCTGGTACCAGCAGCCCGAAGTAAACTGAGGTGGGAAGAGGGGTGGGGGGGATCAGGAGGGGCTAGTGGGTCCATGGGGGAGTGTTGGCTGGATTGGGGGCACGGGGTGGTCAGAAGGCTAAAAATAGCCTCGTCAGGTGGGGATAGGATTGGAAAAAATAGCCACAGGACTGGGGCAAATGACTGGGCTTTCCCTGCCCAAGGGCTGCACTCTGACTGTATACACGTTTGGTTAGATCAGGCATAATTTAGTCTGATCTACACAGTGTACCTCCTCAGGTGAACTAAGTTAGAATGGGCAGCCATTTTTGCCCCTGAACATATGTATGTTTCAGCACTTAGATCAAATTAACCCTAGTTAGGTTGCTAAGGAACATTTGCATGTGCCCCCAGTCTTCGCAATCATTAGATCTCTTTAAGGATATCAGTACAATCTTCCCAAGTAAATAATTTTAAATAACTATTATTGCATTAATGAACCCTCAGTTTTTCTGAGATTACATTCCATGAGTCATGCATCTAAAAATACAGTAAATTAAATGCAGTACCTTAACAAGGCAAGCCCTCTCAAATTATGTAGAAACACCTGTTATGTCTGCACTGTGTGCTACATTAACACTGGTCAAGGTACAGTGGTGGTCAGGGGAGGTGGGGTGTACACTGTTTTCTGCAAGTAAAATAATTGTTTCTGGAGTGGTTGTTTTCCACTATCCATTAGCCACCTCCTCTATTGCCCTTCATTTCTTTATAATTTGACCAGTATGCCTGGAAAAAATGGATTCTGCTTGTTAAAACATTATAGAGCACATTGTTGGCTTTTTAGTGGACAATAACATTTTTAATAAGAAATAAAATTTAGGATCTCCTTCCCCCAGCCCCCACATCAACCAGGTTTCTGGGTATGTTTTGCAAGTGGAGTGACTTGATCTTAAGAATAAATCAATTTTGTGACAATCTTTTCATTCATTGTCTCACAAAATGCATATATTCAAAAATAAATACATGAATAAAGAAATAAAGCAATTATTGGCAGCCTGGGCATAATAGGAGTACCGCTTTGGTATACTGAACACAAAATGAGATGAAGGTCAAAAGAACTTAGCAAGAAAGTTGCAAGTGAACAACCAGATACTTTAAAATTAGTCTTCAATGTGATGCAAACTATTCAATGTGACATTTCAAGTGTTGAAAGAAATATAGTTCTTTTTAGATCTGGTGGCCACTGTCAATTCAAATAACTACTTGATCTAGAATTTATAAGGACAAGCAGAATGAATTTTTCTGCCTTTCTTTCTTGTCTGCTAAATGCCTTCTTTTATGGATGCATATCCTTTCCATCCTGATGATGCAGTTTCCCTGCATGAAAAGATATAGTAAGTGCTTGAAGAAAAGAATAGAATTTGTCTTTATGGCTTTAAAATCCAAGGTATCCCAAAGCACTTTAAAAGATAATGAGTTAGATGCCAGTAGGGCAGTGACTGTAGGTAAACATAAAAATCATTATATGCTCAGCAGTAGTTCACATACACTAGAACTGTATGAACAAGCAGAACAAAGTTATTTTCTATTTCAGGCACTCAAGCTAGAAGGCATATATAGTCTGTATCATGTTTTGGGTAGGTCATAATTCCAGTGGATGTCCTGTATTGTCATTTCAGCTGCTCACTTGCATCTTTATGTTTATATTGTCCAGTAACATATATGCACTTACTTTGATCTTAGATTCTTTATCACATTGGATATTCTTCTATTTTGTCCCCTCAAGACACAACTCATCTTTATTATTTCCTCAATTTTCCTCAGATGTCATCTGTTATATTTGAATAGTTTAGCCTCTGGTGCCTTTTCTTTTCTTATGCACTTCAAAACAGATACTTTCCATTTGCCATCTCAATGACTGCCTTTCAGAAACACTTTTGCAAATCTAGTATTGATTTTATTTGTTTGTTCTCATTTAGTCAATAAATTCTAGAAGGTGGTTACATATATTTTCATTTCAATCTTTTCCATCAACATGTAAGCCAGCAAGCCCCAGCTCCTGAAGAATCATTTTTAATGAGCTCCACGACACTGGTCCTTAAACAATCTCTTTCTCTTGGAGCATTTTTAGAATTTATACTTTCATCTGTGGCAAGAAATGTAGCCAGGCAAATTAATTAAACTTCCCAAATATGGGGAGCCAGCCATAGGACACCTTAAAAGAAAAGGACTTCCAGGAAAATAATTTCCCTTTCTCCCATGACTGGATTCCTAGCCTTGGAGATTAAAAAGTTCAGAAGTTTTTCAATAAACCAATAATTTCCGATGTGGAGGAAAAAACTATGTAAATTGCCACAAAAACCAAAGATGCATCAAATCCCCAGCTAGAGAAGGTAAACAGAAGAAATACTATATTTTTTTCATATACAGTATGCACCTTTCCTCCCAAAAAACAGAATACATTTAAATGTAACCTCTTATGCAAGCTTATATATTCCTTATCGAAAATTATAACACACTGCTTCATATTTTCTCTGCAGGTGAACTATGCTTTATCTACTGTGTATTTTATGTAACTAATCATAAAATTGTTCTGCTCATGGTTTCAGAACTATGTTACTGAATTCAAAACCTCTTGCTAAATACAGACAGTCAAAAAGCCAGAAGTTGAACTGATTTAGTCTTTGCAGGTTAGTCTAGGCTGCAGACATTGAACCGTTAAGCAAATGATGACATTCATTTTGCATTCGGGAAATGCAGCCATATGCCTGCAGTGGCTCAAGCCAGAAGCTGGGAGGCACTATAGCACACATGCCAGCCACTGCTAAAGGGAAGAGAGAAGCACTCCAAGGCTTTCCCCACCTCCATGCTCCAAAGGAGGGGCTGTGGCCAGGCACCAGCTGGGGATAGCTTGTGGAAGGCAGTGCCTGCCAGGCTCCTGCCCCCCACCCCCCACTCTCCACTTGAGGGGTGGGGACAGCTGCTGCTAGACTGGGGCGGGGAAGATAGCGGCATTGAAATCATAAAGGCTTGAACAAGAATAATCCTTTTTCTGAAGCAAGCATGTATTGAAGACAGCACTTTGCAACCTCAGGCACACGACAGAACAACCATAAACATTTACCTAAGCTAAAATGCAACCCAGTAAAACATAGTGAGAGTACACACAGCTTAGTCTAACTTAAAATGGAATATAATAAACCAAAAAGACAGGAGAAAGCCTTGTATAAATCTAATGTAATCCTGAGGGCAGTGTGTCTCCTTACAGCCAGGTATTCAGAAACTCTTTGCTTAGGTATTCCAGCCTCCCTCCTTTCACAGGTTCTGCTTTATACTATAAATTTAGTTCTCTGCTTTCTTTGGTCACACTAGCTGAAGCTGTCTGTGACCCTCTCCTATTCCTGCATTTCCAGCACATACATGTGATCACTGTGCCAGGCCTTTGCCAACATCTCCCACCTCTCAGTCTGGTCCTGCAGTGCTTGGTTCTGTGCTTACAGGTAGCAGGGGACCAGACCAGTTCCCTGGCCTCTTCCCCCCCTGCCCCCCCATGGCCTGGGGTAGCTGAGGGGAATCACACAGCTTCCCCCATCAACTGCTTGTTTCAGTCTCTGCCAGAGGTAGAAGGGGGTGGAGTCTGCTGAGCCCCGGCCATTTGTAAATGTAGCTCTTTGCTTTCTTTGGTCACAGCAGCCCAACCAGCCCCTCTCCTGTTCCCTTAGCTCCATCTCCAGAACATATATGTGATGACTGTGTCAGGTCTTTTCCAACACCTGCCACCTTTTAGTCTGGTACTGCAGGGTCTGGCACCAGCACACTGAGTTGGGAAAGGGGGATTAAACCTCCTCCCAGCCCCCAGCCAGGCTTTGCCTTACAG